GACTCTTACACTTCTTTTGTGCTTGGCAACCTCCGGCGTGCATCCATAACTCAATAGTACACGCTATGGCATTCACCATTTGTTAATTATCCAACATACAGTTAGAGTAGAGCAAGACTAGGTGCTATTGATGGATGATAAATGTAATTTGTGATGTCTACAAAAAACAGTAGTGGCTGTATTAGACCAGATGGTGAACCCTCATTGGCCATATCTTCCAAAACGTCAAGAAAACTATGAAACAGAAGAAGAGAGGGAGGCTATTGAAGGAGTCTGGAACACAATCTCTGAGGATCCATTAAACTATCAATTTTTTTATCATATTTTGGATGGAGATGAGGGTGGAAGGCCTCCAAAGATTGTGGCCTTAGATGGATACAAGGAGATGGAAAACACATTTTTTAACCAGAAAGACAAGTTGTGTTTACATGCAATTGCAAGGAGCAACAACAAAGTAAGTTTAAACAAAAAAAATTGCTAGTTGAAGTAAAATGTGTAATTTCACTCTAGAAATTTAGAAACAGTTCTATCCAGATTTACATGTTGATAATTATTAATAAAAATAGATCACTATTAACCCATGCTTTAGACAGAAATCAATTCTTTATTTTAATTTTTAGGAAGCTTTGCAGCATCCTGTGGTCAGAATGTTAATTAGATCAAAATGGAGAAGCTATGGACACTTGTTTCTCAAGGTCTTTGATATGTAAGAACTAACTTTAATCAATTAATCAAAGTATTACTTTTGATGGTTTTTTTTCGCAGATAACGCGGATTTTGGAGATTTTATTAGAAAGTGAAATAAACTCAGGGAACAGATACGAGTCGTTCCGAGACGAAGATGACGAAGGAAATAGAACACTAATGCACTATGCAGCAGAGCTGGGCTTTTTGCAAGTCATCAAAACACTTGTCAGGAAATGTCCCGAGCTACTTGTTGTGAAGACGGAAGAACAATTCAAACCTGTCGAGAGGAGAGCCATGTTACCTGTGGAATTGGCGATAGTGACAGAGAATGATGATGTGGCTGCATTTTTGGTTCGAGTTATGTGGTATGAAAGGTAGAAAAAGGCTTGTAATTTGAACAAACATAAGTTCTTCAGATGATAGAATTTCAAAAGCTACGATAACATGGACATAATTGTATTTCTTTTGTTGTTGTTTGAATGAATTTCTAAAAGCTCAAGCTTAACCCTTGAACGTTAAGAGTGTCTATATATATATATATATATATATATATATAACTAACAAGTTAAAAGGCCTCGAGCCAACAGTGACACCGCGCCAGAAGGATCCAAAAGGATTCACAGTCCAAACCTCGATAAATGGTAGGAGAAGTAGTGTAGCAAATGGTAAATGGTAGAAGAAGTAGTGTCCGTCCTCGTGTGCCACACTACTATATATATATAAATCTAATTTCTCCTCTCATTATCACCCTGAATTAACCATTTAAGTTAGGGTAATAAAGGGAATGGTCACCAATAAAGATGTTGATTGTTCAACAAATTCTCCTTGTCAGCATCTTATGAATTGTATACAGGGAACAGTTTGGAGAATATGTGTACTGATGTTAAGGTGTAAAGGGTTAATTTAAATATTGCATTTGAAATTTAATTTTGAAATAATTTATTTCCCATGTTACTTTTAGAGTCCAAGGTCAATTTTCCTGGACACAAGATGACATGATTAATCCTCAACCATCC